TATGTCCACCCCCGCCCTGAGAGGGAGGGCTAAAAATGTTGGGGGTCAGCCATGACAATGGGTTGGGGTGGCAAGAAAGTGCTGGCCATGAAGCTCCTGGACAAATAGGGTCTCCTCCCCAGAGCATCTTTTGTGAAAAGATTTGGTGGTATGGGAACCACACTTACATTAAAACAAATATTGCTGTGTTATGGAGCAGAGTGCAAAATGTGCTAGAGGTTTAAAAGGCAAAACATTTTAAGCAGGCAGTGAGCCTTGTAAATATGTGTTCCTCTGCTGTTGGGAGAATTTGGATGAAAATGTTTGAGAAGTTTGGAGACTCCTCATTTTAAGATTGGGGAAACTGAGGCCGAAAGGACAAAAGTAGCTCACACGGGGTCATGCAACGAACGACTGGACCTAGAACCCAGGACTCTGAGGCCAGGCTTGTCCCACCACACCCCCTTGTCTGTCTAGGCAAGAGTAAGGGACCTCCAAGTGGCTTCAGTTTGAGACTTAGGAAAAACTTTACCTGGGAAGGCAGGAGCAGCCTCATAGAAGGGCTGACACCTGAGTCCCTAAGGATACGCTTCCTGGGCACAGAAATCAGGTTGGGCACAGAGACAGAGAGAACGCTCTTATTCAGGAGCAGTTGTCTCCTCAATGCTGGGTTCATCACCAAAAAGTCAAAGAGGGCAGTTTTCCCAGACTGTCTCCCGAGAGATGAGACCCCTCCCCAAGCCTCAGTTTCCCCATCTGTGGAATGAGGCTTCTCAGGCTTTGCAGACGTTTCCACTAAAATGGGCTGTCTTGGGCTGCTGGCACAGCACTGCTGCTCTCTGAGGAGGACCCCCTCTTCTCTCTGTGTCTACGTCCCTGTTGCTTTCCCTGTTCCTGCCTTGCTGAGTTCCTCAGAGGTGGGGAAGCCAGACATCTGCTGATCCATGAATATTCAGGAAGGGAATCGGAGCCTCCTCTGGGCTCCCCAGCCAGCCGCCAGCCCCTCTGGCGGCCGTCCTGCTTGCCAGAGCCCAGGCTGCTGACATACCCAGCAGCTGCTCGGGCCCCAACTGTTCACATTGTTTGTTCATCGCAGCAGGGGATTTTCCAAGCCCGGGACATGCTTTAGGGGGCAGGGAGGCTGCCGGAGGGCTCAGGGATTCGTGTCCTGTGGGAGTTTTCTCCCCTGAAATCCAAACCTACTGCTTAGTGGCCGGAATGGGTATTTGGAAGCCGCTGGGCTGTGAGCCGGGCTTGCCTTCCCCCTACCCTGTAGTTGAATCATGGCATCTAGGGCCTTAGAGATAGAAGGGACTGGATGATAAGAACAGCAAATAGCACTTGTACAGCCCTTTACAGTTACAAAGTGCCTGTAAAGAATAAGCTCCCCACCGGGCATGGTGGCTCATGCCTGTAATTCCAGCACTTTGGGGGGGCCAAGGCAGGCAGATCACTTGAGGTCAGCAGTTCGAGACCAGCCTGGCCAACATGGTGAAACCCTGTCACTACTAAGAATACAAACATTAGTCAGGTGTGGTGGTGCATGCCTGTAATCCCAGCTACATAGGAGGCTGAGGCAGGAGAATCACTTGAACCCGGGAGGTGGAGGTTGCAGTGAGCTCAGATCGTGCCACTGTACTCCAGCCTGGGCAACAGAGCACAACTGTCGAAAGAACAAACAAAGAATGAGCTCCCATTCCTTGAGTGATGTCTATTAGGCTCTGAGCTGTAGCCCTGACATACATTGTCTTGTTTAATTCCTTCACGCTTAGTGGTGTCATCTTCATTTTATGCATGTGGAAACTGAGTCCCAGAAATGTTAAGTGGCTTGTCACAGAGCTGGTAGGTGGAGCAGCAAGGTTGAAACCTTGATCTTCTTCCCCAAGGTCAAAAGCTGTTTCCACCACAGCACGTGGCCCATAGTAGCGTGAATGCCACATTGGTTTCCCCAATTAGAATGGAAACTTGGTGAGGGCAGGGGCCGCTTCTCCCTCCTGAACCCACGAGTACTACTGAGGCCAGTTGTGTAGCCAGAGGTGTCCAGCAGAACCCATCTGATGAATTAAGAAAGGCAGCGGCCCAGGTCAGGTCCTGTCTCTCCGTCCGCCCTTCACACTGCAATCCCGGAGCCCTGGCTTCTGCCCTGGCCTCCTTATTTCACGTAGCCATCACTGCTCTTCTCCCCTCACTCTTGTTCGTCTTTGGAGGTGGTGGGAAGGGAGTCTGGAGACTCACAGGGGTTCTAAATGTTGGCCTGTGTGTCCAGGTGTTGGAGAGTGTGGCAGAGACTGAGGTGCACGTGTTCAGGAGTGCAGAGCTATGTTTACCAATTCGTGTGTGGTCTCAATGGTGTTTTATGTTTGTTCAGAAATAGGTGTGTCCATGTCAGCGAATAATCATAGAATCATAGAATCTCAGAGGTCACCTGCTACATTCCAGTGAGCTGGGGTCCAGAAGGGGAAAAGACTGGGCCAAAACCACATGGCTAGACTGTGATGGAGCTGGACCTAGAACCCAGGGTCTCCTGGTTCCCTCACCATTGTTTTGTGCATGTCCCCATGTGGCTCTGTCAGTCCAGACTTGCCTTGTAATGAATATGGGCCATTGTCCCAACCTCTGTCCCTGGTTCCTCTCAGACATACCATTCTGCCTTGAAGTAAGGAGTCAGACCAGAGCCTAAGAAGGGATCTTGGGCCACTGAGCTTTTATAAGACAAGGAGGCAGCAGGTCAAACTGTTGGGAGACACAACGGGGAGAACCGACCATTTCTCTATGAATAATGGTGGCTGGGTCCTGCTGAATATTGGTTCCAATAATAAACATTGGCCTTTGTGTGTTTTTGCCTTGACCCCGGGATGGCATCCCTTCCTCTACTGTTTCCCTGCTCTCCCCTTTGTGGCAAGGGCAGTGTTGGGGTCTGTAGGCTCTTCTGGGGCCTTGGGAGAAAAAAGAACCCTGGGTTGAGTCAGGAGACCTGAATCCTGGCTCTGGCCTCCTGCATGGCCTTGGGTAAATTTTAGCTGCAGGGAGCGTTGAGCTTCTCCAGTCACCAGGACAGACCAGGCTGCAGGCTGCCAGGGCCTGGAATGAGCCATGGGAGCCTCCTCTCATGCTGGCTCTGAATCCGGCTTGAGTCTAGTCCCTACCTGGGGCACTTAATTCCCAGCAGGATCTGCTCACTTAGTTCATTGTCGGGGAAGGGGAAATGTCTGACTTCCCTTCATCCAGGTGGCTCCCCCAACCAGCTGGGACTTATTTTTGTTTTGTTCATTCAAAATATATAGCATACACACACACACACACACACACACACTTTCTCACACTTATAATACATTTTAAATGTTTCTTGGATACAGTATTTTTCTAGCCTCTGTGTGTGTGTGTATAAAGAGAGACAGAGTGAGAGAGAGATCTACATATGCATATGTATATATTTTAGACAGGATCTCGCTCTGTTACCCAGGCTAGAGTGCAGTGGCACAATCACAGCTCACTTCAGCCTCGACCTTCTGGGCTCAAGGGATCCTCCCACCATGCCTGGCTAATAAAAAAATTTCTTTTTGTAATGATGAAGTCTCCGTATGTTACCCAGACTGGTTTCAAACTCCTGGGTTTAAGCAATCCTCCTGCCTCGGCCTTCAACCTCACAAAGTGTTGGGGTTACAGGAGTGAGCCGCCATGCCTGGCCTCCAGTGGCATATTTTTGATTGGATAATAATGACCAATATCATCTGTTAGGTTCCAGGGTAGGGAATGACATTACTGAGCCCCCATTCTGTGTCAGGCACTGTGCTTTTTTTTTTTTTTTCTTTTTTTGAGACAGAATCTCATTCTGTCACCCAAGCTGGAGTGCAATGGCGCGATCTTGGCTCACTGCAACCTCCACCTCCTGGGTTCAAGTGATTCTCCTGCCTCAGCCTCCTGAGTAGCTGAAAATATAGGTGCGCGCCACCACGCCTGGCTGGTTTTTGTATTTTTAGTAGAGATGGGGTTTCACCATGTTGGTCAGGCTGGTCTCAAACTCCTGACATCGTGATCCACCTGCCTCGGCCTCCCAAAGTGCTGGAATTACAGGCGTGAGCCACCGCGCCCATCCACTATATTCTTTTCTCACACATCATCTCGTTTAATGCTTACAACAGCCCTATGAGAAAGGAATTGCTATGCTTTTTTTTATTTTAGGCAGAGTCTCATTCTGCCACCCAGGCTGGAGTGCAGTGGCGTGATCGTGGCTCACTGTAGCCTTGAACTTCCAGGCTCAGGCGATCCTCCTTGCTTCAGCCTCCTGAGTAGCTGGGACCACAGGCGCATGCCTCCACGTACAGCTAACTTTTTACATTATCTGTACAGATGGGGTCTCTCTGTGTTACCCAGGCTGGTATGCTTTTTCAATTGAGACACAATTTACATACTACAAAATTCACCCTTTATAGTGTTCGACTCAGTGGTTTTTGGTTTATTCATATTCACAACGTTGTGCAACCACAGCCACTATCTAATTCTAGAACATTTTCATCACCCCCAAAAGAAACCCTGTACTCATTAGCAGTGACTCTCTGTCCTTCCTCCCCCAGTCACTGATAATCATTAATCCACTTTCTGTCTTTATGGATTTGCCTTCTCTGGGCATTTCATAGAAATGAGATCATGCAAAATGTGGCATCTTATGACTGGCTTCCTTCACTTAGCGTCAAGTTTTCATGCTACCTTGTAGCATGCATCAGTCCTTCATTCCTTTTGATGGCTGAGTAATCCAGTTATCCATTTATCAGGTGATGGGCTTTTGGGTTGTTTCCACTCTTACTATTATGAATAATGCTGCTATGAGGAAACAGCAGCGGGGAAGACAGGCACAGAGGAGGGCAGCCGTTTGTCCAAAGTCACAGTTAGTAAGGGGAGAACCGGGATCCAGATGCAGGTCTTTCTCCTTGATTTGCCCCCCTGCTCGGGTGACTCAGGAGCAGAGGCTGTGGGAGGTGGGGGGACACACACTGATGGCCCCATGCTCCTCCTCTATGCAGGGGGGCTGCTGTTGCCCCAGGAGACGACTGTGGAGCTGCGCTGTGGAGTGGGGCCGCTACAAGTGATCCTGGGCCCAGAGCAGGCTGCAGTGCTGAACTGTAGCCTGGGGGCTGCTGCCACTGGACCCCCCACCAGGGTGACCTGGAGCAAGGATGGGGACACCCTGCTGGAGCACGACCACCTACACCTGCTGCCCAATGGTTCCCTGTGGCTGTCCCAGCCACTAGCACCCAATGGCAGTGACGAGCCAGTCCCTGAGGCTGTGGGGGTCATTGAAGGCAGCTATTCGTGCCTGGCCCACGGCCCCCTCGGAGTGCTGGCCAGCCAGGCTGCTGTCGTCAAGCTTGCCAGTAAGTGCTTGCATCGGGGGGCTGAGGCTGAAACCTAGACTTGGGGTGTGTGAAGTGGGATCTGCAGTTAGTTACTTGCACAAATGCCTCTCTCTTGAGCCCACTCCCCCTTTCCCTGCCTCCCATCCTGCTCAATAGGTCTCTTCCTGGTATTGTCTATCCTCATTCGTGGGTATTCCATAATCTTCCCACTTCTTCTCCACTCCCCTGTTCCTTCTGCCTTTCTTTCCCTTTGAGTCCTAGAGTCTGGGCTTGTGCTTTCCTCCAGGGAGCCTGCCAGAGTGCCCCCTTTGTGTCAGAGGCACAAAGCTGCCTCCTAAGGGAACTGCACGGCAGGTGGAACATGTGGAGTCAAACCCCACGCTCCAGCCTTACCCCTTAGGGGCCTCTCAGGAGGCACAGATCACCATGAAATAACTTTCAGGCCAGAAGAAATGTGCATCTTACTGTATAGTTTGACCATCACGATGATGTTGGGCAGGGAGGCTTTGGAATTCATTCTGCTGGCAGCATCTGACCACTAATCACCACTTCTTGTTGTTTCTCCCTCGGTCTGAATTGGCTCTGCTTGTGTTTCTATGACTCTGTTTCTGTGTCTCCACGCGGACGTGTTTCACTGTTTGTGCTTGCTCTGGCCTCTCTCTCCTACTCCTCTCCCGTCCCTGCCTGTGTCTCATTGTCCCCAGCACTCGCAGACTTCTCTCTGCACCCGGAGTCTCAGACGGTGGAGGAGAACGGGACAGCTCGCTTTGAGTGCCACATTGAAGGGCTGCCAGCTCCCATCATTTCTTGGGAGAAGGACCAGGTGACATTGCCTGAGGAGCCTCGGTGAGTGCCCTGTAGGGGAGCGGGTCCTGGTAGGCGGGGTAGAGAGGGCTCTGGGGTGCGCTCAGAGCTGAGATTCTTAGAGTCAAGGTAGCTGCATTTACCTAAGCTGACTTGAGTGTCAAGCACCGCCTGACTCCTGGCTCATGTCTGGTCCCAAAGAGAAGTTGGACAAGAAGTTTTTGCTCCCTGGGAGGAAAGCCACCCACTGAGCTGTGGAGCCTGGGTGGGTGTCGTAGTAGAGTCCTTCCCAGCACATCTAGTCCAACCACTTGCTTTACTGTGGAGACTGAGGGCCAGAGAGGAGCTGTGGTTTATCCCAAGCCATGCCGTGAGCCATTGGCAGAATGCTGGTTGTCTGTTGAGGGCTCCCGGAGGCTGCTGGGAAGGTTTTCTCTTTTCAGGGTTCCTCCGGAGTTTCCACTCTAGATGCATCACTTCTCTCTCAGTTCCAGCCAGTGGGGCGCAGCCCTCTGAGAAGTGAATTGTAGAGGTCTTTCCTCTTTCCCTCTCCTCTTTCTCTGTAAAGGCAATGGATGGGTAGAGCAATCCCAGGGAAGAGCTTCCAGGGCAGAAGGGAAGCAGAGGCTAGGCCCTGGACTTGGTCCCTCTTGTGGCTTCCTGGGTAGGTCCAGATGTGTATACAGTGTGACCAGAAACCACAAGGCTCATTTGCATCTGTGGTCTCTGAGTTGGTCTCATGACTCAGTCATCACCCGCTAAATTCTTATGTATCTTTGGAAATGTGGCTCCAAGGCCTTTCCCAGTCACCCTGCAGTCCTCCCACTATATCTCCGTAGCCGTAGTTACCAGCTAGATCCTTCTCCCGTCCTGGTGGAAGTGGGGTTCCTCAGGCTCTGAAACACTGCCCTTTCTCCTCTGGAACCAACCTTCTCTTGCCTGTGTCGCATTGTCCCAGCTCCTCTGACTTTTGCCCATGTGTGGATAAAATTGGGGGTTGTAGGAGAAACTTTGGGGTAGAAAAGCCACAAGATAGTTGTGAGGGAGGAAGAGGATGAGCGGTCCATACATAAGAGATCCTGGTTGGGTGTGGTGACTCACGCCTGTCATCCCAACATTTTGGAAGGACAAAGCAGGAGGATCGCTTGAGCCCAGGAGTTCAAGATCAGCCTATGCAAAATATCGAAACCCTGTCTGTATAAAAAATACAAAAATTAACCCAGCATGGCAGTGTGGCGCCTGTGGTCCCTGCTACTTGGGAGGCTGAGAGAGATCACTTGGAGATCGAGGCTACAGTGAGCTGTGATAATGCCACTGCTTTCCAGCCAGCCTGGGTAACACACCGAGACCCTGTCTCAAAAAAAAAAAAAAGAGAGAGAGAGATCCTGTTGACTTTGGTGACACTGGTCCTCAGAGAGTCACTTCTCACCCAGCCTATTCTCCTTCCCACCTATGAAATGAAAGGGAAAACAAATGAAAGTTGATTTAGATTGTGGTTTCCCAAAGTGTGGCTTTTATAGAATGTTAGTCCCTTTAAATGTTTCTTGAATGAAGTATTCTATGATCAAATAAGAACAGGAAACTGCCTGTAAATCTCCCTCCTGGAGTTGGCAAGACCCTGAGAAGGGGTGTAATGAGAATCTGTGGGCCTTGTTTAATCGAGCACTTCCCAGGCTCATTTGCCCAGGAGCCCCTTAACATCCCATGAATGAGCATTCTAGAGAGTGAACCCTGGGAAATGCTGACCCAGCCTTTCTAATGCTGACATTTTCAGTTCTGTGCCTTTCTAAACGTGGAGGCTCTCACCACTGTGTGATGACGGGTGCCTCCTGGGAGTTCCGTGAACCCAGAACAGATGATCTGGGCAAGTGAGAACCAAGCGAGAGCCTACTCCTGATGCCCCCCAGAGAGGGGAGCAGAGGGCAGCAAAATCTCCCCATGTTGAAAGTCACAACATGAACCACTTAATGGGAGTGTACCTTGGGCCAGGCACTGTGCTGTGCCTTTTACATGTTTTCTCACTTAATCCTTCCAATCATCCTTTAACATAGGTATTTCTTATTTTCATATCTTCCTCTATTTACTTTTAATTTATATTTCTAGCAGATGCATTTTTTAAATTCATATCAATGTGGCTGGGCGCAGTGGCTCACGCCTGTACTCCCAACACTTTGGGAGCCAAGACGGGTGGATCGCTTGAGCTCAGGAGTTAGAGACCAACCTGGGCAATATGGTGAAACGTCATCTCTCAAAAAATACAAAACTTAGGCCTGGTGCGGTGGCTCACACCTGTAATCCCAGCACTTTGAGAAGCTGAGGTGGGTTGATCACAAGGTCAGGAGTTTGAGACCAGCCTGACCAACTTGGTGAAACCCTATCTCTACAAAAAAAAAAAAAAAAAATTAGCCAGGCGTGGTGTCACATGCCTGTAATCCCAGCTACTCAGGAGGCTGAGGCAGGAGAATCACTTGAACCCAGGAGGCAGAAGTCGCAATGACCCAAGATAGCACCACTTCACTCCAGCCTGGGTGACAGAGCGAGACTCTGTCTAAAAAAAAGAAAACAAAGCAAAACATAGGCCTGGTGCAGTGGCTCACGCCTGTAATCCCAGCACTTTGGGAGGCTGAGGCAGGTGGATCATCTGAGGTCAGGAGTTCAAGACCAGCCTGGTCAACATGGTGAAACCCTATCTCTACTAAAATTACCAAAATTAGCTGGGCATGGTGGCCAGCACCTATAAACCCAGCTACTCAGGAGGCTGAGGCAGGAGAATTGCTTAAACCCAGGTGGTAGAGGTTGCAGTGAGCCAAGATGGCGCCATTGCACTCCAGCCTGGGTGATGGAGGAAGACTCCATCTCAAAATAATAATAATAATAATAAATTATATTGTACATACTAAGTTTTTTGTTGAATCATCTTTTCTTTTCAAAAACAAAAATGGGATTATATTGCAACTTTAATTTTTTTTTTTTCTCTTACCACTTCATGAACATTCAGGTCTATACATATGAATATGGTAGGTATTTTTATCTGGAATTTTTTTTTTTTTTTTTTTGAGACGGAGTCTCGCTCTGTCGCCCAGGCTGGAGTGCAGTGGCACAATCTCGGCTCACTGCAAGCTCCGCCTCCCGGGTTCACGCCATTCTCCTGCCTCAGCCTCCCGAGTAGCTGGGACTACAGGCGCCCGCCACCTCGCCCGGCTAGTTTTTTTGTATTTTTTAGTAGAGACGGGGTTTCACCATGTTAGCCAGGATGGTCTCGATCTCCTGACCTTGTGATCCACCCGTCTCAGCCTCCCAAAGTGCCAGGATTACAGGCTTGAGCCACCGCGCCCGGCCTATCTGGATTGTTAAATGAGGGATTGGAGGATCAGAGACAGAAATAACTTGCCCCAGGTCACACAGCTTAGTACTCAAGAGTGTCAGACTCCAGCACCCTGTGTGGAGGATACACAGGCTTCTGGTAGGTGTCATTTAGTAGTTGGGTGCAGAACCAGAGAGGTCTGAAGGAGTTTGTATCACATTATGACTATAATTTTTTTAAAAATTAAAGTTGGGTTTAGAAATCTGTAGTCCAACTGTGGCTGGGAGCAGATAAGTTACTTCCCCAAAGCTTCTCAGCAAACCAGTGGGTTTCAGACTTCCCCACCATCCCCAACGTCTAGCTCAGGCGTCATCCCCTGAAGCCACAAACCTAACCCAGGAGGCCAGAGCTGCCAGTTTCTGGACTCTGGGAGTGTTTGCCCCCAAGTCCTCTGAAAAGTGATCCTCATCTATAAATAAGCTGGGCTCGCATGTCCCGGCACATTGTGTAGGGGGAATAAAGAAATGTCTAAAACAGCAACTTGATTATGCCCAAGGTATGTATTTTTACACATGCCCAGATATAGTGCATGCACAAATATGCTATTCATAAACTCAGCCCAGTGGTTTGAAGGAGACCATATGCCTTGGTGTAGTGTGTGCACATGTGCAGTTAATAAACACACTGCATCAGGGTGTATGTGCTTCGTTTGGAACTGATGGTAAAGACTAGAGCCCAAGGCAAATCCCTGGTACTTATACTATTTTCTAATAATGGGATAATCTAGGGGATAATTTTTCTTCCATGGGAACCAGTAATCAATGAGAGCAATGTTTCCCAAATCCCAGGCATTCACAAACCACCTTCATAACTGTGACCATACTTATACCATTTACACAATCACTTAATAATTTTCTTTACATCAACTCGCTCTTTTGTAACTTGAACACATTTTAAAAAGGAACATTATCTCACTGCAATAAAATGGAAAACCAGCAACACTTGCCATAAATAGAAGACAGCCATAAAAATAAATAATATAACTTCTAGGATAAAAAGCCGTGTATCTGGATCCACTTGAAATAAATTTATTATCGCCATTCACTCATAAGAAACACGTAACTAAGGGACTTAAATAACATGGGCTCCTGCCCTACCCTCTCCCAGTGGTTGCCATTTCTGTCAATCTCATGTGACTCCCAGCCAGTATCCCCTTGCCCTGGGTGGATCTCAAGGGCTTAGGGTGGGGGCTCCTCGGCCCTTGGGAAATTCAGAGCAGCTTCGTCATTTCTTCCGTGTTCTTTAATCCTAGGGACCCAAGTGGCCTTTTGTGGGTAGGGGCAGCAGACTCAGGTTTGAGGTTGGAAAAAGAATAATCCCTTCCTTTTGATTTGAGATTGTTTTTCATTCTATAAGTAGCTTTTATTTTATATGAAATTTGAATTTCTTTTAAAATGGTAAAGTATACCAACTTTACAGAAAGGGGAAAAAAGTCACCTCCTGACTGAACACAGCTTTCACCAATTTGAGAGTTTCCTTGCAGTCTTTTGAAATATATATATGGGTTACACCATTGTAAACATGTGTTTAGAGCTTGCAATTCATAAATATATATATGTCCATTATCTAATGTGAGCTCAAGACACATTAAGAGGGTCAGAGTTGTGAAGTAGGCAGGACAGGAATTATTTAACCCATTTTTCAAACGAGAAAACTGTGGCCCAGATATGGAATGTCACTTGCTAAAATCACATACATTGAAACTAGTTCTCTCCACCATGTCACAGTGCTTCTGTGTTAGAGCCCAAGTTATAAAGCAAAGTGTACAAGGGCACAGACTATTAGCAATTTACATTTTAAAAATTTATATTTCCTAATGGATACATATTAATTGCAAAAAAAACCCTCTTAACAGCCACAATAAATAAGAATCCCCCGATCCCACTCCTGCAGAAAACCCCCATAAACCACACAAGCTTTGCCACCTTTGACTTTTTCTATGTATATCCTAACATAACTTTTCTCTCTTTTCTAAAAGTAGAATTTCTTCATAAACACTGTTTTTTTACTTTTTCCCCCTACTAACTAATATATCTTGAACATCTTTCCAAGGACAGAGCTTCTAAAAACACATTTTAGCAAAGCAAAAGATTTTTTTGAGTCAGAGACTCACTCTGCCACCCAGGTTGGAGTGCGGTGGTTCACTGCAGCCTCTACCGCCCCGGCTCAAGCGATCTTCCCACTTCAGCCTCCTGAATAGCTGGAACTACAGGTGTGCTCCACCATGCCTTGGCTAATTTTTGTATTTTTTCATAGAGACTGGGTTTCACCATGTTGTTCAGGTTGGTCTCCAACTCCTGGCCTCAAGTAATCCTCCTGCCTCTGCCTCCCAAAAAGCCTGGCCAGAAAAGATTTTAGATGAACACTAAAAGTGGTTCCCCCTTGCTTCTATCGCCTGCAGCAATAGCACCGTATCTGGGGAAAGGAATTCATTCATTCATTCATTTGTTCATTCGTTCATTCACTCAACACACATAATTAAGGGAATGTTATTTTTTCAAAGGAGAGACTAGCTCTTGAGTACTTGAAGCACACTTTTCCCTGGAAAGACCTAGAAACATTGGGGTTAGGAAATGTAGGCAGTTCCCAGCAGCATAGTCAGCTCGCTAGACCGAGGGGAAAAGAGGAGAAAGAAAGATCTTGGAGGAAGAGCACATTAGATGGATGGGGGTGGGGCCTGTTTGCTAGGTGGGTCCTTCTTGTCCTTCCCCAATTCGTCCTTTCCTGTCCGTTCTTCTCTGGCAACAGACTGGGTGCTGGCCCAGGATTTCCCTCTAGCCACATTTGCCTCGCTGTCCCTTTCTCTCGCTCTGCCCCAGCACTTATGTAGACAGCTGTTGGAACTGAGGGTAAGAGGCTGGGGGCAGAGGTGGGTTTGCCTGTGCCATGCAGGAAAGGGCACATTTATGGGTTTTTTTCTTTTTTTTTTTTTGAGACAGAGTCTCGCTCTGTCGCCTAGGCTGGAGTGCAGTGGCCGGATCTCAGCTCACTGCAAGCTCCGCCTCCCAGGTTTACGCCATTCTCCTGCCTCAGCCTCCCGAGTAGCTGGGACTACAGGCACCTGCCACCTCGCCCGGCTAGTTTTGTTTTGTTTTTGTTTTGTTTTTTTTTTTTTAGTAGAGACGGGGTTTCACCGTGTTAGCCAGGATGGTCTCGATCTCCTGACCTCATGATCTGCCCGTCTCGGCCTCCCAAAGTGCTGGGATTACAGGCGTGAGCCACCGCGCCCGGCTGTATTTTTTTCTAAGTCCTCTAAGTCTTTGGACCACGGCATGTTTGTAGGGCCCCTATTTAGAACGTTCTTCCTCCCCAGCCTTTGAGCTACTTCTCCTGTCCCATGCTTAGATTTTTTTAGACCCCACTTCCCCAGGAGCTAAGGGATCTCCACCAAGCGCAGAACTGCCCTCTTCCCTCTCTGACCTTGGCCCAGCCTACATCCCAGAGGCCAGTACCGTTTGCTCTGTTGATAAACTAGGACTCTCAACCTGGAGCTGACCCTGTAGGGATCCCAGTTGGAGGATTCTGAGGGACCCATTCACCCCCTCCTTAGTTCACAGCCCACTCTGGTCCCCAATATCCCAACCCCCATGGAGACCTCCCTATCCCAGATTACATCGTTTCTCAAGCAAGGTCTCTGGACCTTTCTATTTCTCTAGCCCAGAGGGCAGGGAACACCCTCATCCATCATGCCCCGTCTAAGTAACATACATGTTGGCTGGTTCTGCTTGGAGACCACGTCCTCTCCAAGGGCATTCTCAGCCATCCAATGACTGCCGAGACAGGCAGGTAGGATGGATATGACATTTGGCACCAGAAGACTTGGGTTTGAGCTTTCACTCTGCTCCACCTATGAGACCTCAGGAAAATACCCTCCTCCCTCCAACCCTATTTTTCACTGGTAAAATGGAGGTCGTGACCCCCTTTACGTCTTGGGCTTGTTTTGAGGGTCACATGAGATAGTGTGAATAAAGAATATTTTATCAAGGGAGGGAGAAGGTAATACGGGCAAGGGGTAAAAAAATTCAAACTGTATAGAAGGATATATAATAAAAAGTCAATCCCTCCCACCCTCAGTCCCCTGGATCCCAGGTCCCCTCTCCAGAGACAACCACCAACACCAGGAACATTCAGTGTATACGCAAGCATAGAAGCCTACATGTCCCCACACACACTGTTTTGTACCAGAACACATTTGGAGATGGCCCTCTATCAGCACACACAGAGCTGCCTCCTTTTTAGCAGCTGCCTAGCATTCCATTGTGCGAATGTACCCAAACCAATTTAGCCAGTTCCCACCCTGCAGATGGACACTTGGGTTGTTTCCAGTCTTTTGCTATCACAGACAATGCTGGAGTGAATATCGTTTAACATGTGCTCTTGTGCACACATCTGAGAATATCTGTGGGATAGAGCCCTAGAAGTTTTGATGTTGAGATATCACCAACTTGCCCTGGAAAGATGGTGTATGGGCAGGGCCACCGTCAAGGCAAGAGTGCCAGCCCCCATTCCCTCATCCACCGTTGAGGCAGGAGTGCCGTCCCCCATTCCCTCATCCACATGGAGTGTTATTAAGCCTTCTGATTTTCACCAATCTAATAGGTGAAAATGGTGTCTTAGAGTTTTTTTTAAGACAGAGTTTCACTCTTGTTGCCCAGACTGGAGCGCGATGGCGCAATCTCAGCTCACCGCAACCCCTACCTCCCAGGTTCAAGCGATTCTCCTGCCTCAGCCTCCCGAGTAGCTGGGATTACAGGCATGAGCCACCACACCTGGCTAATTTTGTATTTTTAGTAGAGACGGGGTTTCTCCATGTTGGTCAGGCTGGTCTTGAACTCTAAACCTCAGGTAATCCACCTACCTTGGCCTCCCAAAGTGCTGGGATTACAGGCGTGAGCCACCGCGCCCGGCCTGGTATCTTAGAGTTTTAATTTGCATTTATCTTACCATGAGCCACCCTCCCTGTGGCCCCCTGCCCACCTCACAGTTGCCCGCTCCCCTCTTCCCAAGGCTCATCACGCTTCCCAACGGCGTCCTTCAGATCCTGGATGTTCAGGAGAATGATGCAGGCCCCTACCGATGTGTGGCCACCAACTCGGCTAGCCAGCGCTTCAGCCAGGAGGCCCTACTCAGTGTGGCCCACAGAGGTAAGGGGGCTGGCTGGGTGGGGAAACCTGGGGGTTTCTGGAGCCAGCCATCTCAGAGCTGGGAGAGACCTCAAGAGGTCCAGGCGTCGCCTTCAAGTAGGTGATAAATGTTAGTCCCATTGACAGGTGAAGCGATGAAGCCCAGAGGGGGTACTGCCATCCAGCAAACCAGGGAAGAAAGAACTGGGATGGAACACAAGACCCCAGACTCCCAGGGCGGGGCTCCTCTCTTCATGCAGAGCCTCTGTGCCCTCGGGTTGGATGGAGTGTCGAAGGCTGGGGACAGAGGTGGGGAGGCAAGGCATCTGAGGCCATGTCAGCGCCCGGAATCCCTGGTCCCTGCTCCTTTCTCTCCTCCCCTTCTATAGTCACTGAGGAGTTCAGGCACTGGGGGATTCATCCCTCTCTGCTTTCTGTGCCTTGCAAATCTGGCTCCCTGTGGCCTAGTGCTCTTGTCCTTTACTCGTTTCTTTGAAAAGCTCTTGCCCCAGTGTGATGGAGTAGGAAGGGCACAGGCTTTGGGGTTGGAAAGACCTGGTTTGAATCCTGGCTTCTCTGCTCACCATCTGTGTGACCCTGGGCTCCTTATCAAATGTCCAGCTCAGAGAGGCTGGAAGAGTCCTTGAAATAAGAATGGAAAGTGCAGGCCGGGCATGGTGGCTCACGCCTGTAATCCCAGCACTTTGGGAGGCCGAGACGGGCGGATCATGAGGTCAGGAGATCGAGACCATCCTGGCTAACACGGTGAAACCCCATCTCTACTAAAAATATAAAAAAATTAGCCGGGCGTAGTGGCGGGCGCCTGTAGTCCCAGCTACTTGGGAGGCTGAGGCAGGAGAATGGCGTGAACCCGGGAGGCGGAGCTTGCAGTGAGCCGAGATCAAGCCACTGCACTCCAGCCTGGGCGACAGAGCGAGACTCTGTCTCAAAAAAAAAAAAAAAAAAAAAAATGGAAAGTGCCTGGCACCTGGCAGGTGCTCAACAGATCTCACTTCAAGCCTCCCTCAGGGGCCCCTCCCCTGCTGCCCTTTGCCATGCATCCCTCCCAGCTCCCACCTCCCACCCACTCTCCACACCCCCACCCTGTCCCCATCCTATTCCTTCTGGGCTTAGCTGGTGCTGGTGGGCTGTTCCCAGGCTGGTGTCTTCTCCGTTCTGTTCTGAGGGTCTCTGCCTCCACCTGCTGGACAATCCAGATATTCACCACTCCACCCAGGGGGCCAGGGTCACAGAGAACTCAGCAGGAAATCAGTGTTTAGGGAGCTGCAGCCCAAGCAGAAACTAAAGTCCACTGTCTGCCTTTTCCACTGGGGAATCCAAGAGCCTCTGGAGAAGGGATTTGCCTAAGGTCACCCAGTGCGTTAATGGCAGTGCTGGAACTAGAAACTATAACTGTTGACTCCAAGTCTGGTGCTTTGCCCATGACCCTGACAGTTCTCTGCCTAGATGGTGGGTTGCATTTGGGAGGGAAGAATGGAGGTAGATGTGGGTCTGTCTAATCATTTCTCTGGTGCTGAGTTGAAGCCCAGGCAATTCTTCTGACTCTAAAAGAAACAGCTCAGGCCGGGCGCGGTGGCTCAAGCCTGTAATCCCAGCACTTTGGGAGGCCGAGACGGGCGGATCACGAGGTCAGGAGATCGAGACCATCCTGGCTAACACGGTGAAAGCCCGTCTCTACTAAAAACACAAAAAACTAGCCGGGCGAGGTGGCGGGCGCCTGTAGTCCCAGCTACTCGGGAGGCTGAGGCAGGAGAATGGCGTGAACCCGGGAGGCAGAGCTTGCAGTGAGCCGAGATCCGGCCACTGCACTACAGCCTGGGCAACAGAACAAGACTCCGTCTCAAAAAAAAAAAAAAAAAAAAAAGAAACAGCTCAGAGGTCCCGTCCTAGCCCTGCTGACTTTTCTTGCTACATCTCCCATCTGACAGATGGAATCATTGCTGCTGCCCCCAGTACCACCTCACCAGGTTACTGTGCGACTCAGGTGAGGTATTGAATGGCAAATGCCTAATGGTAAGGCTGCCTTCTGTCTGTCTTCTTGCCAGGGTCCCTGGCGTCCACCAGGGGACAGGACGTGGTCATTGTGGCAGCCCCAGAGAACACCACGGTGGTGTCTGGCCAGAGTGTGGTGATGGAATGTGTGGCCTCAGCTGACCCCACCCCTTTTGTGTCCTGGGTCCGACAAGGTGAGTGGAGGGGGTGGGAGAAGGAGGGCATGGGAAGGGAGGGATGTGGCATCTCACATGCCCCTAAGTCAGGGGGATGTATGGGTGACGACCCAGGGGTCACCAACCTTCTGGTGTGGCAGGAACTCCTCTCCCAGGGCTGGGTGTGGTGGACAAGGTCGGAGCTTCGAGGGGAACTGGACAGACTTCTTCGTCACTCTGTGTAGCATGGGCTTTACAAAAGCACTTCCAGGCTGCCACTTACAGAACAGTTATTGCAGCCCCCCTGAGGCCAGGTGCTGAGCTACATTCTCCACCGTAATTACATATTTCTGTTCCTCACAACAGTGTTACAAGTGAGTACTTGAGAGCTGGGAAGGTGCCACACAGCCAGTGAGTCAGGTGGAACCAGATCCCTCTGCTGGTCTGTGTTTAACTATAAGGCCAGCTCTGGGACCACCCTTTGTGTGACTGGCATCATGCTGGGCACAGTGAACAAAATCCAGAGAGGCAGGGACCCTGCCCTCTGAACTCATCGTCTAGTGAGGAAGAGGAAACACATATCTATGAAGAGAGGTCTGACAGTATCAGGCTACAACTGAGAAGTGCCACTGAGTGACTGGAGATGCCGTCAGGGTAACGCCAGTGCTGGGCCAAATGTCACTGTGCAGTCTCCTGAGCACTTTCACACCTGTTCTCCTGTCAGCCTCCAAGAGCCCTTTGGGGAGAGTAGGGGCCAGAACTATTATTCCCAGTGGGCAGATGAGGAAACTGAGGCTCAGAGAGGCAGGTGGAAGAGCCGGGACCCAAGCTTTTGAGTCTGTTCTCTTTCTGGTACTTTACTTCCTACAGTCCTATAGAAAGAAAGCAAGGGTTATTTTTGTTTCCATTTGCTGTTAAAAAGTGACTTGTAGGCCGGGCGCGGTGGCTCAAGCCTGTAATCCCAGCACTTTGGGAGGCCGAGACGGGCAGATCACGAGGTCAGGAGATCGAGACCATCCTGGCTAACACGGTGAAACCCCGTCTCTATTAAGAAATACAAAAAACTAGCCGGGCGAGGTGGCGGGCGCCTGTAGTCCCAGCTACTCGGGAGGCTGAGGCCGGAGAATGGCGTAAACCCGGGAGGCGGAGCTTGCAGTGAGCTGAGATCCGGCCACTGCACTCCAGCCTGGGTGACAGAGCGAGACTCCGTCTCAAAAAAAAAAAAAAAAAAAAGTGACTTGTCCCAAATTGATGGCAGAAGTTTTAAATTCAGTCCTCTTTACCCCGTTCCCCAACTCATTCTATTACTCTATACACTTAAAAAAAAAAAACTTTATGTCTCATACTCAAAAGTGTATATCATGAATATATATAGTTTAAAGAAAATAAATTGAACAATTATTAATATGTACCCACCACTGAGCTGATAAAATAGAACAGTGCTGGGATTTTCGCACCTGTCTGACCTGAACTGCCTTGTTGGACCTGTGACACTTGTCTACTTAGGGGGCCAGCAGGACCCTCGTACTACTGGGATAAACTTGTGGTATCACCTAGAAGTTCTAATGTCAATATTTCTTAATTCCTGATTATGCATCAGGGTCACCCAGGGGACTTGTTAAAACTGCAGACTCCTTTCTTCACCCCGGAGAGTCGTGATCCAGGAATCTTTTTTTTTTTTTTTTTGCCTGTCACCCAGGCTGGAGTGCAGTGGTACAATCATAGTTCACTGCCGCCTCCACCTTTTGCTGGTTCAGGTGATCTACCTCAGCCTCCTGAGTAGCTGGGACTACAGGCATGTGCCACTATGCTAGTTTTTTTTTTTTTTTTTTTGAGAGACAGGGTTTCTAGATGTTGCGCAGGCTGGTCTCAAACTCCTGGGCTCAAGCGACCCGCCCGTTTTGGCCTCCCTAAGTGCTGGGATTACAAGTGTGAGTCACTGCGCCCGGTTCTGTACCTGAAAGTGTGCTCTTCAGCTCTACTACCTAGGACTAGTTAGAAATGCAGAGTCTGGGGCCCTGCCTCAGGCCTCTACATCTTTTTTTTTTTTTTTTTTTGAGACGGAGTCTCGCTCTGTCGCCCAGGCTGGAGTGCAGTGGCGCGATCTCGGCTCACTGCAAGCTCCGCCTCCCAATTCAAGCGATTCTCCTGCCTCAGCTTCCCAACTAGCTGGGACTACAGGAGCCTGCCACCATGCCTGGTTAATTTTTTGTATTTTTAGCAGAGACTGGGCTTCACCGTGTTAGCCAGGATGGTCTTGATCTCCTGACCTCGCGATCCGACCTCGTGATCCAGGCATGAGCCACCACACCCGGGCTGTTTCGTTTTCTTTCTCTTTTCTTTTCTTTTCTTTCTTTTTTGATGGAGTTTTGCTCTGTTTCCCAGGCTGGAGTGCAGTAGCATGATCTTGGCTCACTGCAACCTCCGCCTCCTGGGTTCAAGTGATTCTCCTGCCTCAGAGTCCCGAGTAGCTGGGATTACAGGCATACACCACCATATTCGGCTAATTTTTGTGTTTTTAGTAGAGATGGGGTTTTGCCATGTTAGCCAGGCTGGTTTCAAACTCCTGATCTTAAGTGATCCACCTGCCTCGGCCTCCCAAAGTGCTGGGATTACAGGTGTGAGCCACCGCGCCCGGCTGTTTTGTTTTCTGACTGCAAATGTTGTAAATGTTCACCATAGAAAACTAGGAAGAAAAATAGATGCAGAAAACACTCCACCACTCAGATATAAAAATTGTTTATGTACCAGTGTACCTTCTTTCAGTTTTTTCCTATGCATATGTACAGTTTTCTCCCTGAAATTGAGAACATGTGCTGCATTTACAGTTCCAAGTCCTATTTTCATCCAACAGTATATCATAAGCATTTCTCCATCTTTAAAACATTTTCAAAATAATTGTAATGACTATCTAATATTCCGTACTTTGAATATAGCTATGATATAATTCACCAGTTCCTGCTGTTGGATTTTTAAGTCCTTTCCAGTTGTCCACTGTTACAGTTAACACTGCTGTGATCTGCTCTGTTCACAAATACTTGCCTGTAATTCTGATCATCTTCCTAGGACAGGTATGCATAAATGGAATCCTTGGCTTCAAGGCCTAGGTGAAGCTCCTTTATGGCCCTTTCTCCAGCATTGCAATTTAGTATTTTAAAAAATCTTCTCAAGTTGATGGGTGAAAATTAACACCTATGTTTTAGTATCTTTTTTTTTTTTTTTTTCCATAGAGACAGAGTCTCACTAGGTTGCCCAGGGTGGTCTTGAACTCCTGGTCTCAAGTGATCCTCCCACCTCAGCCTCCCAAAGTGCTGAGAGTACAGGCGTGAGCCACCATGCCCAGCCTAACATCTGTTTTGAAGTGCCTTTCTTTGATGACATGAAATTGAACATGTTTGTGTTTCTTGGCTATTTGCATTGCTTCTCTAGATTTTCTGTTCATGTCTACAAGGCAAGGGCTTTTTAAATGGTTTTCATTTCACATTGAGATAAAAATCTGTGCACATTCAAATCGTTGTCTTGGTATGACCTTACCGGCCCTAGCTTCATCATAGTACTGGGCTGGGACCCCAGGGAAGGCGCATGTCCTTCTTGAGAGAAATGAATTTAGTAATGAAAACTGACGAGTGTATGAGCACCTATTATTAATATATGCCTGCACTGTGCCAGGGGTTCTCACATTCTTTCAACCCTCATGGAAACCCTGCCAGTTAAGGGCTAGTTCCCCCTTACAGATGGAGACAGCAGGGCTCAGAGAGTCCCGGCAAGAGGAGGAAATGAGATTCGGACCAGGGACGGTTGTGTTCACTTTACCCGGGTGCAGAGTGTTCCTGAGGTCCGGAGAGTGAATGGAAGGGCAGTCCCTAGCGTCCCCTCCAGCGCGTCTCCCTCTCCTTCCCCAGACGGGAAGCCCATCTCCACAGATGTCATCGTCCTGGGCCGCACCAACCTACTCATTGCCAGCGCGCAGCCCCGGCACTCCGGCGTCTACGTCTGCCGCGCCAACAAGCCCCGCACGCGCGACTTCGCCACTGCCGCCGCAGAGCTCCGCGTGCTGGGTGAGGCGGGCGGAAGGGCGGAGGGAGCGGGTTGTTTGGGGCTGGGGTGAATAAGGCAGGGGGAAGTGGACAGGTGGGTGTGCTGGGGAGACTCAGGCGCGCTCCTGGAGGACGAACTCGGGGGAGGAGTCCCTAGTAAGGCAGAGGTGGGGCGAGGGATGGGGACTAGGTAACCGGAGGACGGAGTGCGGGGCGTTGAATCTGGGATGGAAGGAGAAGGGTGATTAGGGCCTGGCGCGAGTAATTAGCGGGGAGGTGGGACTGGGATTGTTGGGGGGATAGTGGAGTGATCTGGGTGGTACTAAGAAAACTGGGGGGCAGAACAGATCTGATAGGTGCGGGAGACATCGGAGGTCAGGGAGGAAGGAGATAGGTAAATTAGGGGTGGGGCTAGATCCGGGAGGAGCGATATTTAGGGGAGGCTGAGGCGGCCTGGGGACAGTTTTGGAAGAGAAAGAGAATGGTCGTTGTGGGGCTGGGGTAAGTGGGGAGAAGAAGGGGTAAGTCTGCGCTGAGCGGAAGTAGTTTGGAAAGAGTGAATCAGGGAGAGGTTAGAGTGATTGGAAGGGGAGCGGGGAAGGGCGGTGGGGGGCAGGGTTGGGGTCCTGGGGGGAGGGGCAGAGACCTTAGTGGCGGGACCCCCGCGCTCAGCGTCGCCCCTCGCGCCCCCAGCGGCTCCCGCCATCACTCAGGCGCCCGAGGCGCTGTCGCGGACGCGGGCGAGCACAGCGCGCTTCGTGTGCCGCGCGTCGGGGGAGCCGCAGCCAGCGCTGCGCTGGCTGCACAACGGGGCGCCGCTGCGGCCAAACGGGCGCGTCAAGGTCCAGGGCGGCGGTGGCAGCCTGGTCATCACACAGATCGGCCTGCAGGACGCGGGCTACTACCAGTGCGTGGCTGAGAACATCGCGGGAATGGCGTGTGCTGCCGCGTCGCTGGCCGTGGTGGTGCGCGAGGGGCTGCCCAGCGCCCCCACAAGGGTCACTGCTACGCCACTGAGCAGCTCCGCTGTGCTGGTGGCCTGGGAGCGGCCCGAGCTGCACAGTGAGCAGATCATCGGCTTCTCTCTCCACTACCAGAAGGCAAGGGGTACGTCGGCCTGGGGCGGGATGCACCAGGGGGCAGGATGCACCAGGGGGCAGGATGCACCAGCGCAGGCCCCGGCGGGGCGCAGCGGGGAGGGTTTCAGGTCGGATGACTGAAGGGTTGCCTGATGGGTACCTCTGCAGCGAGGATGGACTGGGGTAGGAGCCCATATTAGAGACCCGCATAGGTATGGTAGGTATGGATTAGGCAGTTGGCGCTGGAAGGGCCACTGCTTCCCTCAGTCATATTTGTTGAGAGAGGAGGGAGAGGACGTTCCTGGAGCCACCTCCCACCCCAGTTAACTAACTGGAGAGGTAGGTCATTTCCAGAAAGCACTCCCTAACCAGTGGAGGAATTAATAGAGTGAGACAGGAAGCCGAGGGAGTTTATACACTCCTGCTTAGATTATCTGGGATGATTTAGCTATAAATAGACACCAGGACAATATGAAGGATTCCTAGACAAACTGCAGCTAACCAGCACTGGAGTGGCACTATGACAGTCCCCTTGTCCCCTGGGTCACCAGGCATGGATAATGTGGAATACCAGTTTGCAGTGAACAACGACACCACGGAGCTACAGGTTCGGGACCTGGAACCCAACACAGATTATGAGTTCTACGTGGTGGCCTACTCCCAGCTGGGGGCCAGCCGCACCTCCACCCCAGCACTGGTGCACACACTGGATGACGGTAGGGCCTCTGAACCTGCAATGGGCAGCTTGGGGTAAAGAGAATTCCCTGGGGAGGGGAGCTCGCCCTCTCTTTACTAATGTAAAGGCATTTTTACCTGCTCATATCATCTTTGTACCCTATAAGAGAGTGGACAGGGGTTCTTCTCCTCAGTTTACAGTTGGGGAAACTGAGGCCCAGAAAATGAGAATGATTTGCCCAGGTCAGTAGTTCAGCTGGGACTTGAGCCCAGGTCTTGTGATGATTCCCTGTGTCATGCAGTTCTCCCTGACACCTGTGTGCCATCCAGCTAGGGTAGGGGTCAGTGACATTAACCCATTAGATGTGGAAGATTGTGCTCCAAGACTTTTTCCAGCTTCGGGGTGGGAAAGATGTCCCTTTTTCCAGCTTGGGGCTCCCCTGAGAAGCTCCCTTTCCTCCCTCAGATCCTGGTCCTGGCCTACTTCTGACTTGCTGTGTGACCCAGGCAAGTCTCTGACCGCTCCTGAGCCTCACCTTCCACGTCGGTGGAGCAGAGCTCACGCTGATGTTCTTCTGTCTCAGTCCCCAGTGCAGCACCCCAGCTCTCCCTGTCCAGCCCCAACCCCTCGGACATCAGGGTGGCATGGCTGCCCCTGCCCCCCAGCCTGAGCAATGGGCAGGTGGTGAAGTACAAGATAGAATACGGTTTGGGAAAGGAAGGTGAGTGGGGTGGGTGGGCTGCAGGCAGGTCTGGGAATGATCAATGTGAAGAGTGGTCAGGGCTGCTGGAGACCTGAGCAGGGTAGCGGAGTCGGAGGAAAGGAAGCAGAGTAGGGAGAGGTTGGGGAAGGGTGAACCTGAAAAACAGGGGTCTGGGCAGGAATGAAAAGGGAAGATAGAGGGGCCTAGCTTAAGGCAGAGGGAGGCCTGGGCTCTCACCCCAACCCCTCTACAGCTGCAGTATGTAATCCTACTGAGTCCCTGCCTCAGTTTCCTTATCTGGGAAATGGGGGGCTGGGGTGGGAGGATCACTTGACCCCAGGATTTCAAGGCTGCAGGGAACTGTGATCATGCCATTGTACTCCCATCTGGGTGACAGAGCAAAGCTCTGTTTCAGAAAAAAATAAAAGGATAAAAGTTAGGAGAAGGAAGGTGGCTGAGGGACCAGGGGAAGGGTGAGGAAGGAGGGAAAGGTGAGGAAGGAGGGAAGGGTGAGGAAGTGGCCATGGTGGCCCTCAGGGCTCTGGAAGCCAGGCAGAGCTTGCTGGCCTTCATGGTCAGCCCCTTGTGTCTGCATCCCGTGTGTGTGTGTGTTGGCGGGGGATGGTCATTGACAGCTCCTGGGGAAGTGGGGAAAGCCTGCCATCATTCTCTCTGCAGCTGAGCCCAGGCTGATAGCCTGCATCAGCCAGAGGTGGAGGCTCAAGCGTCCACCCTGGAGCCATAGAGTCTGCCCAGGCACTGAGGGGTCAGTGCTGAGAATGCCTCAGGCTCCCATGGGCACGGAGGAACCAGGATGTGAGGTGGAAGACCCGTGTAGGAGAATTTAGGATCCTGGTCCTCAGGTGGCTACCCAACAGCCCACCTTTTCTGTCCCTGCAGATCAGATTTTCTCTACTGAGGTGCGAGGAAATGAGACACAGCTTACGCTGAACTCGCTTCAGCCAAATAAGGTGTATCGAGTACGGATTTCGGCTGGTACAGCAGCCGGCTTCGGGGCCCCTTCCCAGTGGATGCAGCACAGGACGCCCAGTATGCACAACCAGAGCCATGGTACGGGGTTAGAGGAGAGACAGGAGAGTGCGTGTGTCCTTGGGACCCAGTGCCCCACCCCCGCACCCCACCCTCCATCAGAGACCTTCCATGCCTCCCTCTGCTTGACGGGTGAGCGAGGCCCAGGTGCAGAGGTGAAGGGCTGGGATCTGGTGTCCCTTCGATTTGCCGTGTGAGCTTGGACAAACCATTCTGAGGCTTCATTTACTGCCCAGGAGTGGCATGAGGTTGAATAATGTATTGTAACTAAAGTGCTTAAACTCATTGAACTGTAGCTGCTTCGAGGATGATGATGATGTTTTGTTGAGAGGCCCAATAGAAGAGTGATTAAATGCTGACCAAACCGGCCTACGTGCTCTCTGTATGACACTGGGTAAATTACGTAACTCTCTGAGCTTCAGTTTTCTTATCTGTAAAGTGAAAGTTGTAGTATATTTTCACTATTTTAGAGGGCTGCAAGAATAAAGTTATAATACATATACAAAGTGCATATACACAGTGTGTTTGACACATTGTAAGCTCCTCACTCTCAAGTGGGTGTCCCTACTATAATGGTGGCATCCCCCCTTCCTGGCCTCAGCAACCACCACCCCTACTGCCCCCAACATTTGATCCTTCAGAAGACTTCACAGAGGCCGATTCTGTGCCAGGTGCTATCAGCCTGCTCCAGAGGTGCTCCTTGCTGACTCCTTTGCAAATGCCCAGCAGACACCCCTGCATTCCCTGCACTCTGTGCTTGCAGAATAGTGAGTTCACCTCTAGACCGAGCCCAGGCCTGGCACTAAGAATGGTGGCTGAGTGGTGATGTGTTGGGAGAATGCTGGCAAGGCTCTCACTGAATGCCATCTTACTGCCTCTTCCTCATGCCTCTTCCCTGTCTCCTATCCCTGGCCTCCTTCTCCTCATTCCCCATTCTGTTCCTTAATTTTCCCATCCTGCTCCTCTGCCCCCAGTCCCTTTTGCCCCTGCAGAGTTGAAGGTGCAGGCAAGGATGGAGTCCCTGGTCGTGTCATGGCAGCCACCCCCTCACCCCACCCAGATCTCTGGCTACAAACTATATTGGCGGGAGGTGGGGGCTGAGGAGGAGGCCAATGGCGATCGCCCGCCAGGGGGCCGTGGAGACCAGGCTTGGGATGTGGGGCCCATCCGGCTCAAGAAGAAAGTGAAGCAGTACGAGCTGACCCAGCTAGGTGAGGAGGGCTGGGGGAGCGGGAGAGAGGGATGTAGCTTCAGGGGGGACCGGGCAAGCTGTGTGAAGGAGTTAGAGATGGGATGCTTTCTGTGGACGGGAGAGTGACCCCAGATGTCCCCCTAGCTATTAAGCCCTGTAACCTTCCCCAGTCCCTGGCCGGCTGTATGAGGTGAAGCTCGTGGCATTCAACAAACATGAGGACGGCTATGCAGCAGTGTGGAAGGGCAAGACGGAGAAGGCGCCCGCACCAGGTGAGGGCTGTGGGGGAAGAAGGCGGGGAGGGCTCAGGTGAGGGCTCTGCTAGCCACTTCCTCTTCTTTTCCTTTGGGCCAGCCTGGTGAACAGGCACTTTAGTAGCCTCAGCTCATGCTCAAACCCATTCTCCTAGGATTAGGGGTCCTCTTCTAGCTCCAGAGAGCCTCTGTCATGGAGAGAAGCTCGTCTGTTCACGGTCTTAGGCCTGCCACCTTATTTTCATTAGCCATGAATAGTGCTGATTTCCAAAGTTCAAACAGAGGGAAACCCTATGGTTGATCAGTAACTCCTGACCCCAAGTTTGACCTTAAAACAAGTTTTTTTTAAAACACATTTGTCTACATCACACTATCAGACTATCTCTCAAGTCTAAGAAGAGTGAGTATCCCTATGTGACCTAACGGGAAACTGAGGCTCAGAGAGGAAAAGGAACTTGTCCAAGGTCGCACAGAGCCTAGACTAGAACCGGGACTCCTGGTTTCCAGGCAAAACTCTTTCCACTGCACTACACTGCCTTGTGGCCCTGTATTGAACACCTCAGTTACCCATCATGACACTCCCTCACCCCTAACTTCCCAGCCACATGGTTTAGCAGAGGGAGTAATCAACCAGAAGCCATGAAGCCTGGGTTCTTTTTTTTTTTTTTTGAAACAGAGGAGTCTCATTCTGTTGCCCAGGCTGGAGTGCAATGGCATGATCTCAGCTCACTGCAACCTCTACCTCTTGGTTCAAGCAATTCTTGTGCCTCAGCCTCCTGAGCAGCTGGGATTACAGGTGTGCGCCACCACACCCGGCTAATTTTTTTTTTTTTTTTGAGATGGAGTCTCGCTCTATCAACCAGGCTGGAGTGCAGTGGCCAGATCTCAGCTCACTGCAAGCTCCGCCTCCCAGGTTCACACCATTCTTCTGCCTCAGCCTCCGGTGTAGCTGGGACTACAGGCACCCGCCACCTCGCCCAGCTAGTTTTTTTGTATTTTTTAGTAGAGACGGGGTTTCACCTTGTTAGCCAGGATGGTCTCAATCGCCTGACCTCGTGATCCGCCCGTCTCGGCCTCCCCAAGTGCTGGGATTACAGGCTTGAGCCACCGCGCCCGGCCTAATTTTTGTATTTTTAGTAGAGACGGGGTTTCACCATGTTGGCCAGGCTAGTCTCGAACTCCCGACCTCAGGTGATCCACCCACCTTGGCCTCCCAGCCTGCTGGGATTACAGGTATGAGCCACCACACCCAGCTGAGTTCTAATTCCAGTTTGTTCATTTCTTCATTCAGCAAATATTTCACTAAGTGTCTACTAAGTGCCAGCTCTGCTTTGGGAATTTAGTGGTGGACAACACAAATAAGGTTCCTGCTCTCATGGGGTTTATTTTATGTTTCTATAATAAACACTTATAAATATAGTGTTTATTATATTTCAGACATTTCCTATCTATTTTTAAAATATTAAATAATTTAATCCTCATAACAACCCCATGAGGTAGGTGCTATCATTAGAATAGTGAATGGAGACACAGAGAGGGTAAGTAATTTCTCCAAGGTCACACAGCTAGTAAGTGTCAGAGCTGGAATTTGAACCAAGGCAGCCTGGTTCCAGAGTCTGGTTCCATGGTTATTCATTGCTGTGATTTGCTGCCTCTCTCTTTATTACGTTCTTACAGACTAGTGTTCCACAGTCAAAAATCAAATTCTTGGAAGCCTCAGTTGCCTTATCTGTGAAGTAGGAATGATGCTACTCAACTCACAGGATCAAAGGAGAGGGTCAAAGAAACAGCCTTGGGAACTGTAAACCACTATACATATTTAAGGATGAGTATCCTCCCTTCCCTCCTCACACTCTAGTTTTCACCTTTCAGACATGCCCATCCAGAGGGGACCACCCCTGCCCCCAGCCCACGTTCATGCAGAATCAAACAGCTCCACATCCATCTGGCTTCGGTGGAAAAAGCCAGACTTCACCACAGTCAAGATTGTCAACTACACTGTGCGCTTCAGCCCCTGGGGGCTCAGGAATGCCTCCCTGGTCACCTATTACACCAGGTGGGGACTAATGCCTTTACTAATGTAAAGAAGGAAGGAAGAGCAGGTGGGGGTGGGGGAGGGAAGGCAGCAGGTGGTGATCAGGGAAGGGCCCCTGGGATTCAGGAACACGTCATGGCTCACCCGTTACACTGAGGCCACACAGAGGGGCTGCACAGGGTCCACGTCCTTGCCTGCTGACCAGATGGTAGCGAGGAGGCCATCCAATCCCGTCCCCTCACAACACAGCCTTGTTCTCAAACTCTGGAGAATGTGACACAGGACAGACCTGTTTCTCCAGCCTCAGAGGGCTCCCAATCTGATGGTGAAGAGAGCCCTGTCCCTGTCTCAGAGCTGCTCCCTCCACCGCGTCAGATGGGGAAACAGAGCCTGAGGAGCCTGAGGTTTGGCAGAGGAAAGACGCATAAAAAGCAACTGATATATACTATTGCCATGAAGGCAAAATTAAGCCAAAGAAAAGATGCATCAGAGATGATTCCATAGGTGGAGAATAACTTGGATTAATCCAGGAAGGTTTCCTGGAGGAGGGGGCCTGGTTTCAAGATGAGACTTGGAGCAGCATACATCCAGACCTCTCTGTAGGTCCCTGGGTGGTGGCAGTGGCCTCCAGGTCAGGGAGCAGCTTCCCTTCCCACAGTAGAACCTGGGGCTGGGGCTGACAGCAGGGGAGTAGATTTGGAGGGGTCTCTGCCCTGCTGGGAGAGTGTGCCTGAGAGCACTAGTCATGTTTCTTGCCTTAGCAGTTCTGGAGAAGACATCCTCATTGGCGGCTTGAAGCCATTCACCAAATACGAGTTTGCGGTGCAGTCTCACGGCGTGGACGTGGATGGGCCTTTCGGCTCTGTGGTGGAGCGCTCCACCCTGCCTGACCGTGAGTGGCTCCCAGCCGCTTGCCACCAACCCATCTTTTACCCAACTCCTTCTTGCCCCAGCAGCAAGAAACATCCCTCAGAACCCCAAGGTTGGGCAGAGCTGAGGGCAGAAGAGTTTCTGGGAGGGGAGGAATGTTAAGTCCCTCCAGCCACACACACTGTCTTCTAGAATTCCACAACTAGAAACCAGACCTCATCTTTGCTTTGTGGCTTGTTCCATGAAGAAGGAAGAAGGGAGGTCATGTCCTCATGCTCTGTCCCCCAGCTCTGATGTCTCTCCCCATCTCCTCTCCTGCACCCCAGGGCCCTCAACACCCCCATCCGACCTACGACTCAGCCCCCTGACACCGTCCACGGTTCGGCTGCACTGGTGCCCCCCCACAGAGCCCAATGGGGAGATCGTGGAGTATCTGATCCTGTACAGCAACAACCACACGCAGCCTGAGCACCAGTGGACCTTGCTCACCACGGAGGGTGAGGGCTCCTGCCCCAGGGCATCTGCCTAAGAGCTTCCCAGCCTCTCTCGCTTCCAGCAGTGAGAACAGTGCTGGGGTTTGTTCCAGGTGCTTCTGGGAGAAGCAGTAGAAGCTGCTGCCTACATGGAGAGCAGACTTTCCCAGTCCCACCTCCCTGCCCACCTCTGCATCCACCCACTCCGTCCCACCATCCCTGCTCTCCCTGCCTCCCTCACCCCCAGGAAACATCTTCAGTGCTGAGGTCCATGGCCTGGAGAGCGACACTCGGTACTTCTTCAAGATGGGGGCGCGCACAGAGGTGGGGCCTGGGCCTTTCTCCCGCCTGCAGGATGTGATCACGCTCCAGGAGAAGCTGTCAGGTATGACTGCAGGGCAGCCCAGGGTTCCCAGAGGCCCCTGGAGTTGACTTCCAACCCCCTGGCTGTGGACACAACTATCATTTCATTATTTTGCACAGCTGTCCTCCTGGTTTGGTGGGAGCAGAGCAAATGTAAAGGGGAAATAGGTGTGGTTCAGTGATGACTTGGTTCAGATGTCAGGTTCACGGGCAACTGGCTTTTTTTTTTTTTTTTTGAGACGGAGTTTCACTCTTGTTGCCCAGGCTAGAGTGCAATGGTGTGATCTCAGCTCACTGCAAGCTCCGCCTCCCGGGTTCACGCCATTCTCCTGCCTCAGCCTCCCGAGTACCTGGGACTACAGGCGCCCGCCACTGCGCCCGGCTAGTTTTTTGTATTTTTTAGTAGAGACGGGGTTTCACCGTGTTAGCCAGGATGGTCTCGATCTCCTGACCTCGTGATCCGCCCGTCTCGGCCTCCCAAAGTGCTGGGATTACAGGCTTGAGCCACCGCGCCCGGCCTAATTTTTGTATTTTTAGTAGAGACGGGGTTTCACCACATTGGCCAGGCTCGTCTCAAACTCCTTACCTCAAGTGATCCACCCACCTTGGCCTCCCAAAGTGCTGGGATTACAGGCATGAGCCACTGCACCCAGCTGGGACTGGCTTTAAAGACCAGTTTCTTTGGGAAATTGCTTTGATTGGAGGATTAACTTGGTGAGGCAATGAGCTTTATGGGGTGGAGGTGGACAGCAGGACTGGCTACATAATTTCCAGGGCCCAGTGCAAAATGAAAAGGTGCTATCCTTTATTTTAAAAATTAGAAGTCGGGCATGGTGGCTCGTGCTTGTAATCCAAAATGCTCATGCACTTTGGAAGGCTGAGGTGGGAGGATCACTTGAGGCCAGGAGTTGGAGACTGGCCTGGACAACATGGTGAGACCCCGTCTCCACAAAAAATTTAAAAATTATCTGGGTGTAGTAGCTTATGCCTGTGGTCACAGCTGCTTGGGAGGCTGAGGTGGGAGGATCACTTGTGCCCAGGAGGTTGAAGCTACAGTGAGCCATGTTCATGCCACTGCAGTCTGGCCTGGGTGACAGAGCAAGACCCTATTTCAAAAAAAAAAAAAAAAGAATTTGAAGGTGGTGACAGCAGAGCATTAACTCAAGCGTGGGGCCCACCAAAGCATGGGGTCTGCGCACCTGCACATGTTGCACACCCATGCAACAGCCCTGGGGGCAGGCAACACATGTTTCACCAAAGGCCAGTTTGAGGAGGAGAGACCATAACTTCTACGTGTGTTCTGGGGAGGACAGTCACAGGGAGTGGTAGTAGTAGTTTCTGTGAGGCCACAGGGACCTCCTGTCCTTGTATCTGAAGATTGTGAGCATCTGAAGGGTGAGGGTCCGGCTGGTGTCTCCTGAAAAAGCCATGGATAGTCCTGATCCATGCCCTGTGCCCTTCTTCTGTCCTGACCTGCTCTGTGCCTCTCTCTCCCCCACCAGACTCGCTGGACATGCACTCAGTCACGGGCATCATAGTGGGTGTCTGCCTGGGCCTCCTCTGCCTCCTGGCCTGCATGTGTGCCGGCCTGCGCCGCAGCCCCCACAGGTGAGCAGGGGAGCCAGTCTGGCTTCAGGGAAGGGAGACTTCCAGGAAGGGCTGCAGAACGGGCCATCGGGGAAAGTGGCCATGACTTGCCCTTGGCACTCCCAGGAGCCCCGTTAAAGTCAGGACTCTGGGATGAAGGAATCAGGAGTGATGTCTTCATGAGAATGGGGAGTGGACTTAGGAGAGCCCCTGGCTACCCCCCTCAGCAAGGCCACCAGAACTGCCTCGCTCCCACTTCCTCTGTAGCTGCCAGCGTCTTGGAAAGAGGGGACCCAAATCTCCAGATGCCACCCTGTTTATAGCATGAAGCTGTTTTGAACAATAGCAGTTTTTCTTACTCATTGCACAGACCAGGAAAGCAAGTCCCAGAGATGGGCAGGAACCTGCCCAAAGACATAGGCTGGACCAGATCCCAGTCCCGCCCGACCCTTTACTCTGACCACTGTGCCTTGTTTTCTGTCTTCCCTTCCAGGGAATCCCTCCCAGGCCTGTCCTCCACGGCCACCCCTGGGAATCCTGCGCTGTACTCCAGAGCTCATCTTGGCCCCCCGAGTCCCCCAGCTGCCCATGAACTGGAGTCCCTTGTGCACCCCCATCCCCAGGACTGGTCCCCGCCACCCTCAGATGTGGAGGACAGGGCTGAAGTGCACAGCCTTATGGGTGGCGGTATTTCTGAAGGCCGGGGTCACTCCAAAAGAAAGGTAGGTCAGAGCCCCATATTGGGGCTCATTTCTAAGTAGGACACCAAGGGGCGCCAGAGCACAGCGCGTGGCTGTGTGAGCATGGCCCTACCTTCCCCTTCGGAGCCGGCTGCAGACGCTAGGGCCTCTCTCCCTCCTCCACGGAATGGTTGGCTGGTCAGGGAAGCACATGGGCCTCCATACGCTGGCAGAATAGGTCGGCCTGGTTCTCACGAAGGAGAGGGCCTCCCAGCAGGTGACCCAGGATAGCCAGAACACCCAGCTCCCTCCTCATCCCTGGAGCTGGGGAGACCTCTATGACCCAGCCATCCCCGTGTGGGGAGAAGAGGCCAGTTGGCTTGACTGTGGCCAAGTGGGGCTGGGACCAGGATAAGGTGAGGCCTTCGCAGGGCTGGTCCCTTTCATGCTGGCAGGGGTGGCACATCCCACCCGACTCCGACCCGTCCTCCCTTACTCTCTCCCCGCCTGGCTCAGACACCGCAGGCTTTGCAGAGCGTCTGGTGTTCTGCTCCTCTGTAGGAGGACTCATCCTCGATTACCCCGCTGACTCTCAGCCCTTTCGGTGCTCCTCCCTGAGCCTTGGGGAGGGAGAGAGCAGCGGGTGACAGGCTGGATCCTGCTCTCCCGGGGCCCGTCCCAATTCCCTCCCCTGGGCTTCCCTCTCCCAGCCAATCCTGGTTGTGCCCCTTAGTGTCCCCTTCTTTCCCCTGTGCAGATCTCTTGGGCTCAACCAAGCGGTCCGAGCTGGGCTGGCTCCTGGGCAGGCTGTGAGCTGCCCCAGGCAGGCCCCCGGCCGGCTCTGACCCGGGCCCTGCTGCCCCCTGCTGGAACTGGGCAGACGCTGTTGCTGCAGGCTCTGGTGTACGACGCCATAAAGGTCAGCGTCCTGGAAGGAAGGGGCAGGAAAGGAGGAAAGGGTCTCTGTGCTAGTGAAGAGGAAGTAATGAGTTCTCTGGAGACCCCTGGGTGGTAACTTCCCCGGGGATAGAAGTCTAGTCAGAAGACCCCTGGAGCCTCCAAAGGTTGAGTAGGGGGAGGGCAGGCCAGTTTGCACGAACCTGTTTCAACCTGGGTTGAAAACAGTCCCTCCTCTACCCAGACCTAAGTGGGCCACAGCAGTTTCGTGGATCTGAGGGTGTGGCTGGCTTGAGCATGCTCAGCCCTTCCTCCTCTCCCCAGAGGCCCTGAGTCCGGTACTCCTGAAACTCCTGGATGAGGGCAAATGGGAAGATTCCATCATTCCCTGCCTTCGCATAGGTTCGAACAGTTCCTGTGTATCCTTTACCAGCTCCCATGTGATACCTACTCTGATGAAGGGTCAGTCTCTCTGCCCCATGTAAGCTGGTCATTCTGATGATTACTCTCAGAAATGGTCACTTGGTGTTCTCTGCTCTGATCAGGGCAATGGGAGGAAGAAGTCACCCCCAGCCTGCAGGAACCAGGTGGAGGCCGAAGTCATTGTCCACTCTGACTTCAGTGCATCTAACGGGAACCCTGACCTCCATCTCCAAGACCTGGAGCCTGAGGACCCCCTGCCTCCGGAGGCTCCTGATCTCATCTCGGGTGTTGGGGATCCAGGGCAGGGGTCAGCCTGGCTGGACAGGGAGCTGGGAGGGTGTGAGCTGGCAGCCCCTGGGCCAGACAGACTTACCTGCTTGCCAGAGGCAGCCAGTGCTTCCGGCTCCTACCCAGACCTCCAGCCAGGCAAAGTGCTGGAGGAGACCACTGGAGACAGCTGCCAGCTCAAAGCCCCCTGCCCTCTAGGAGCCAGCCCAGGCCTGCCCAGATCCCCGGTCTCCTCCTCTGCCTAGCTCCTCCCAGAGGGTGTAGTTTGGGGTAGGCAGGTATGGGTCACACAGGATGCAACACCTGTGGCCATGCATGTCCACATGTGTGCCTGTAGATACATCATCAAGCCCTTTGGAGCTTCCTAAGATGCTTTGGCTGGGGGGAGAGGAAAACATGGATTATTCACTCCCCCCATACTCTTTGTGATACACATGTGACATGTGAAAGACATACGAGACACAGCTACATGTGATGTGCACATGTGTGAAGTGCATGTATGTGTACTGGTTGGTGAGCTGGGAAACCTTGGCCCAGGCAGTGGTCACTACAGCCAGATTGGTCCTCCAGGTCAGGACGGTGCCCCAGAGTGGTCAGTCCCCAGCCCTGTGGGCCCCCACCTCCATCACCCAGCCTTTTATTACACACTCTGAGAGTGTCTCCAATGCCTGTCTGACAAAGACAGTCCCAGCCCATTTTCCTGTCTGGCTGGGTTGAGTGCAAGCAGACTCTGAATGCCTAGCATTTCAGCTGCATCACCTCCCAGCTTCTTATTGCCCAAAAAGAGAGGGTGACCCTGGCTCCCCTCTGAGCAACTCTGCATTTAATTTTGTAATTTGGGAAGTGCCTGGTTTTGAAAATCCGCTTTCTCTCACTCTTGCCCTCCTTCCTTGCCCCTGGCTGCTCTAGTGGTCTGTCGCCCAGTCACCTCACTCTCCCAGCACCAGTGCCCTTCTCTTGCTCCCAGGTACTCTTTCCTTTCCTCTCTCCTATTTTCCTTCCTCTGCTATCTCTCGCACCTCTCCCAGACTGTGTCATCTGGTTCTCCTGCCTGGGTTCAAACTCTGCACCCTTCTCTAACAACGTGACTACCTCATGTGTGCTTCAAGGCCCCCGTGCCCCTCCTGTATCCGCGGCTGCCGTGCGCTCGCCTGCCATCCTCCTGCCTCCTCTTCACTCAGTGCTTCTGCTTGCCCCGCCCCAGGCAGGCCGCCCACGCCCAGTGCCCGGCCGGTGTGGGGAAGACCTGGCTTCCCTGCATCTTGACTTTGGGATTGGGATCCGAGGGTTCTCCATGGATGGATCCAAGTCAGAGGGGAATGTTTGAGACAGGGAAGGGGACTGTGATCCAGAGGCTCAGAATTAAAAGATGCCCTCCCTTCTATGCAGGGGGTCAAGTTTACTGGATGGAGATGATTTGGGGCCTTTCTTCCAGAAGAAGCTAAATGAGGAGAAGGGGAGTGAGAGTTCAGGGAGGCCCTTCCCACCCTGTGAAGCTTGACTTGATCTGGGTTGGGGATGACAGAAATGTCACTCTCTGGGGTGCTGGCAGGGAGGTCTTTGCACAGGAAAAGGATTAGCTCATTTCAGTTTGTTTTTTCTTTAAATTGAATCCTCAAGTCATTTTCTGTTCACCTGCCGCACAGGGACAAGCTTGACTTCTATTTTATGTGTAATGAAAACAATGTCATTGATTTGATTTTTCACCTCAGCCCTCTCGTAGGAGCATAGAAAGTTAGGGTCTTTACTCCCTAATGGTGTCTGATCGGCACATCAAGAGTTAACTCTGGCTTCTGAGCCAAATTCGAAATAACCAATCCATTTTTCCTTTTTTTTTTTTTTTTTTTTTTAATGGTGAAATGTCTCTCAGCACAGTTGCGGCTTCCTCAAACCCTGAAAGCATCTGTGTTTATTACACTCGGGTGTCACTCACTGTTGATGTCTGCACCTACATTTCCACCTCCTCCCCCTCCTTCAGCCAGCCTATGATAACACTAAAGATTATTAATGTTGGTTTTGTATCTCGTTAAAGACAGAATTGTCACTTGTACTATTCCTGTAGCATTCAGCGCTGCTGTGGCTAACACCACTGTGTATGTTTCATCATTGCTCTGAAGGTCAAAAGCCTCATTTTATTTTGCTGGTTTGATTTTTTTTTTTTTTAAGAAGGAAAAAAAAAAACTGCCCTGAATTAAATGGCTGTTTTAACAGTAGGCTCTTAGCATTACACCACATAGTCATTTTTCATGTTCTTGTTTAACAGGCACTGAGGTTCTGGTTTAAATTAAATAGCTGCAAATGAGACAATTTATAACCCATTAGGTTGGGTGGAAAATTGTTTCTCAAAAGCAAATAAGTAATAAATCTGGTATCTGCCTATAACTCACAGTTGATAAGAAAGTGGCCATTTCTCACTAGCATTATATATGATTTGGGCTCTGGGTAATTTGGAAGTGTTAGGTTTGTGTCTTTGTAGCAGTATTTTTATTAGAAAAGAATCTATTGGCCTTTTACAGGGTATTAATCCCTTTGTCACCTACCATTGATGCCTTAAGTTTTTTGAGTCTCAATTAAAAATCTTCCTTTTCTTGATGCATGACAAGTGTAATCAGTACTTGCTCATTTATTCATCTGTATTTAGTTTATGCTGTACTATTTAATTATCCTTCCAGCGTTTTTCTTCTCCTTACAAATATGATATTCTTTAGTGTTAAGCTAAGGCATTGATTCATGTATCTGTCCTTATAATGAATTAATAAACTATTTTCCAGAAATGTGGAATTCTCTTCTGGAACCATTGACTATGACTAGAATTTCCTCAGCCTTTCTGCCCTACGGAGTTTATTTCTTACTGGGATGGGAAATGTTGTTGTTGTTGTTGTTGTTGTTGTTTTTGAGACAGGATCTCTCTCTGTCGCCCATGCTGGAGTGTGGTGGCACAATCATAGCTCGTTACAGACTCAATCTCCTGGGCTCAAGCAGTCTTGTCACTGCAGTCTCCCTAGTAGCTGGGACTACAGGCACATGCCACCATGCCTGGCTAATATTAAAAAAAATTTTTTTATAGAGATGTGGTCTCGTTATCTTACCCAGACTGGTCTCGAACTCCTGGGCTAAAGCCATCCTCCTGCCTCAGCTTCGAAAAGTGCTCGGATTATAGGCATGAGCCTATGCCCCTTGGCCCAAAATAGTGTTTTGTTTGTTTTTTCAGACTAATCTCACTCTGTCACCTAGGCTAGAGTGCAGTGGCATGATCTCGGCTCACTGCAACCTGTGCCTCCTGGGTTCAAGTGATTCTCTTGCCTCAGCCTCCCGAGTAGCTGGGATTTCAGGTGTGCACCACCACGCCCGGCTAATTTTTGTATTTTTAGTAGAGACAGGGTTTCATGTTAACCAGGCTGGTCTCAAACTCCTGACCTCACGTAATCTGCCCACCTCGGCCTCCCAAAGTGCTAGAATTACAGGCATGAGCCCCTGCACCCAGCTCAAAATGGTGGTTTTTGAAGGTAAAGAGCAGGTGGTCATGGGAAAGAACTAAACCATCTTCCTCCCTCAACAGGCACTTAGGAAAAAGATGTAAACTTAGGAAAGATGCGTTCTTTGATGGCACTTCCTTAGACTCTCTGGGGATCTCTTTCCATCTGGGCACACATTTCTCTGAACTTTTTTGGGTGCAGGAAAGAGGGAACAACTCCAGAGATTTGGGCTCCACAACTATTCTTTATAACTCTGGTCACCAACATTATTCATGGCCACACAATCACACACACGTGCACTGTGTGTACAAGCTCAGAGACCCGTAGACGCATACTTGCCTTCACAAACACCCTTGTGTCTGTCCGTTAATGCAAATGTACACACAATCTTACGCACAAAACTCCACACTCACACCCCACACACATCTTGGCATCACAGTTGGCAGCTGCTGTCTGCTAAGATCTTTACAGAGTCCAGAACATGCTTTCTATTGGAGGGAATCAAGAGCTGGAGGCTGCTTTGCTTGGGACCACCCCCAAAGTGGCTGGTGGGCCAGACCCAGAGTTAATTGACAGATCAGACAGAGAGATACTGCACATTTTGCACTTGGCAGAATAGCCATTATTTGCATATCACTCTCAGACCAAGGGTTGTGATAAAGAAGAATTAAACACTTGTCAAAATGAATTTAAAATGACAGCAATTCAAGACACCAATTTGACCTCTTCAGAGTCCAGGACAAGCCAAGAAGGGGTTGTTGAGAATTCAAGCCCTGCAGGAGGGAGTTCCAGGATTTTAGGCCCAGGGAGGGCTCTTCCCCTCCCTTTCCTAAGGCCAGTAGACCGCCACTCCCACCCTTTCTCACAATGAAATCCAATAGGGCTTTGGCGCATTGGGATCCTCGACCTAGAATTTTTCCATTGCTTCCTGCTGCTCACATGCCTCATGTCCTGCTTCTCAGGCTCATCTTCCAGTAGCTACCCAGAGTGAATATTCCTGAGCTATGCCAACCCCATCATTAGTAAACCTGTCCATCTGCAGGCACTCTGATTTCTGGAGGCCTGTACTTCCTTACTTACTGTATCAAAGTTAGTTTTTTGTTTGTTTGTTTTGAGACAGAGTCTTGCTCTGTCGCCCAGGCTGGAGTGCAATGGTGCAATCTCAGCTCACTGCAACCTCTGCCTCCCGGGTTCAAGCTATTTTCCTGCCTCAGCCTCCCGAGTAGCTGGGATTATAGGCGCCTGCCACCATACCCGGCTAATTTTTTTGTATTTTTAATAGAGACGGTGTTTCACCATGTTGGTCAGGCTGGTCTCGAACTCCTGACATCAGGTAATCCACCCACCTCGGCTTCCCAAAGTGCTGGGATTACTAGGCATGAGCCACTGTGCCCGGCCCAAAGTTAATTTTGTACATGGTCCCAAAGTTCCAGAGGTGGTATCAAAAGAGAGACTTAGTTTTTCCTCTGCCATCTCAGTCCAGTGCCAAAGGAGCAAATAGATACATTAGGCCAACACTGATCGATTGATTGATTGATTGAGACAGGGTCTCTATTGCCCAGGCTGGAACACAGAGGGACTACAGGCATGCACCACCATGCCTGGCTAAGGTTTGTATTTTTCATAGAGACAAGTTTTCACCATGTTGCCCTGGCTGGTCTTGAACTCCTGGGCTCAAGTGATCTGCCCACCTCGGCCTCCCAAAGTGCTAGGATCACAGGTGTGAGCCACCAAGCCTAGCCTGCCACCTTTAAATCTCTAGCTCCTAGAACTTAGTAGCTGCTCAATAATTTTGATGGACTAGTCCCTCATGCTGGACTCAACAGAAGACCATTTAATAGCGAGTGACTGAGATTCAAGATCTCTGAGGGCTAGTATGGGTATGTCTCTGCTAAAAGACTTGCTTATCTTCTCTAACATTCTCACATGGAACCTATGTTGTCTCCTTATACGTTCTCTGACATGAACGATTGAGGGCCTTCTTTGTGGCGCAGAAACATTACTGGGAATTTTAAGTTTCTATGTGCTTTTCCAGTTACCAGGTCATTTGTCAGGACCTCTGCGGTTTAAAGGTCTCTAGGGATGAACAGGAGAGATAAGATTATTTTCATCCTTCAGATGAGCTCAGTGAGAGTGACTGGGCTAGGCAGCAGGCAGAACCCAGGTCGGAAGCCAGGCCCGTTTAGAGCTCTCATTGTCCTGCTGGGTCCGCTCTCTCCAGGCAATCCTCCCCAGCGGAGCGCCAGGACTCCTCGGCCCTGAGAAGCCAGTCTTGCAGCTACAGGATCTATCCTTTGAGTGGAAGGACCAGAAATCCATGGAAAACTTAATCTTTGACAACTTTACGCAGCTTTTTAGAGAATTATCTCTAAAATATGGACTTGGAGGAGGGCGCAGCAGAAAGAGTGGGTCAGAGCAAATCCCGCAGCTGTGAGTGTCTTTCCGCAGCCTGGACCCACTCCCCAGTCCGCTGGGTGTCCACTTCCTCAGCCCCCCAGGTCCCAGGCTAGCCCGCGGGGAGGGGATACCCGGCTGCAGCCCGGGACGGCGCCGGCCGCTCCAGCCACAGTTCAAAGCGCAGGGGGCGCGTCCGCCGCACAGCCGGGAATGTCCGGCCGCTTAAAGCGCTCGCCGGCTCTTTTGTTCCCCAGACCGGGCCTCCGGGGAGAGGGGGCTGGGGGAGGGGACCGGGAGCGGAGAGGAGAGAGGAGGGGGGCGGCGGGCTGGGGAGGAGGGCGGGGCGGCCGCGAGCGGTGCGAGTGTGCAGCGCGCACCCCGGGCGAGGCTGACAGATCGCCCGGGTGGGTGCAAGATGGCGCAAGCGGCGCTCCCCCTGCGCCCCCCGCGCTCCTGAGCAGGCATGCGGCTCCAGTCCCCCACCGCCCGGGCTCGGCCCCGGCCGGAGCCCCAGCCCCGGCCCCGGCGCCGGCCCCGCGGGACGCTGTGAGCGGCGAGAGGCCCGGGAGCCGCGCGTCGCCGAGCCGAGCGGACCGAGAGCCCCATGGCTGTGCAGCGCGCCGCGTCTCCGCGCCGCCCGCCCGCCCCGCGCTGGCCCCGGCTCCTGCTGCCGCTGCTGCTGCCGCTGCTGTTGCTGCTGCTGCCCGCGCCGAGCGAGGGTGAGCGAAAGCGTCCGGCCCAGGCGGCTGCGGACGGAGCCAGGGGAAGGGCGAGCAGGGAGGGAGCGGGCGCGAGGGGCGGACCCGGGGAGAGCGGCGCGGACCCCGCGCGGGAGGGACCCAGCGGATCGGGACGGGGAGAGGGCACCAAGGCCGGACTGTCGGGGGCCCTAGGGGCGTGCTGAGGACGGAGCCCCCCGGAAGAAGACTGGGGCAGGACCCGGAGCCCAGACTGAGGGGCAAGGAGTGCAGCGAAGCGGGAGCAAGCGGAGCGGGCTGGCGTGGAGACAGAGGGAAACGAGCCAGGGGAGACCGCACGGCTAAGCGCCGACCGAGGCGGACGAGCTGGGGTGCTCGGTGCCCGGCCGTGGATATAGCCCGAGGCAGCCGAGGCAGGGGACAGCAGTCTGGGGGGCGGACAGCGGGACCCTGCCAGCTGCACTGGGCGGAGATGGCACGTCCCGCATTTGGAGCTGGTACTGGGCTGAGGAGTGCGCGGGAGAGCCGGAGAAGAGGAGGAGGGAGATTCCTGGAGGGCGGCGCGTGGCTAGGAAGCGACCCGGGACAGAGCCCGTGAGCCAAGGAGAGGAGAAGCCACCAAGAGCGAGAGCGAGCGAGCCGCGGGGATGCTCACGTGCCCCTGCCCTTCCCCGAAGCGTGCACACGCGAAGACCCTACCCCTGGCTCACGCGGTCCGCCAGCTCCGCTGCCTGGAGCTCGGTCACCACCACGCTCTTCCCTTTAGTGGCTGCAGTGGTCCCATCTCCCGGGAGGGGAGTGCAAATCTAGTCCCTTACCCTCCCACATCAAGTTCCCCACAGACACTCATCTGGGCTATTCTGTCTCCACTCATCTCCCAAGAAGTAGAAGATCGCGTCCGCATCAAGGAAAAACTTTATCCCCCGACAGCTATGCCGGGGTTGGATTGGGGGCTAAGACGGGTGAACTCATGACATGGGGAAGATGCGCAGGGGTTTGAATAAGTGCGATCCTAAAAAGTCTTAAAACATTACATCTCCCTGGGCCGGGGGCGCGGGGCGGGGGCAGGGGGCGCGGGGCGGGGAATGCCTATAACCCAAACGCCCCTCCTTTCTCCCCTCCCACTTCCCCATCTCCCCCAGCCAGGGAGGGCCCTAGTCTGCTGGGGAGGGGCCAGCTCCAGGATCGCTAGTTATCTGGAAATGTGAGG